TATGTTGCTTCGTTCCCACGCGTCTCGTCCTCTCCTTCTCCCGTCGCCCCCTCCGTCCTCCCTTGTTGTTGCTCCCCCCCTCTGTCTGACTACCTGCGTGCCACCCGTCCTCTTGTTCCTCGGGTCCTTGCCTCTCTCGTTACCAACCAGTCTATTCCGGTTTCGAGCCTTGATGCCCTTGTCGTTGCGGTCGCTAACTTCGCCTCTACCCGCTGCCTTGACTACGCCACCGCTCTAGTCTCTGACCCTGCCTGTCCTCCATCCGTCGGGGGTGCTCCTGCCCTCGGCAGAGACGTCCTTGAGGACCGCCAGTACGAGCTTGCTTTCCTGTCCGAGGCTGCTCCCCATCTCTGCTCCATGCTGCTAGTCCCTGAGGGTGACCTAGATGCCTTTGACATCCCGACCCCTCGCACTTACGCTGAGGCGACCTCGGGACCCTAGGCCTCTCACTGGATAACTGCCATGGAGCAGGAGATGGCATCTTGGAGATCCACCGGCACCTACGTCGACGCAGTTTCCCCACCTCGGGTGAACGTAGTCGATGGCCGCTGGCTCTTCAAGGTGAAGCGCCCTCCTAGAGAGCCGCCTGTGTTCAAGGCACGCTACGTGGCTAGAGGTTTTAGTCAGCGTGAGGGGGTGGACTTCTTCCAGACCTTCGCTCCGACCCCGAAGATGACTACTCTTTGGGTGCTGCTACACGTAGCAGCTCAGCGTGACTACGAGCTTCACTCCCTCGACTTCTCCACTGCGTTTCTTAAGGGTAGTCTACACGAGTAGGTCTACCTGCGCCGCCCTCAGGGCTTCACTGGTACCTTCCCTCCTGGGACCCAATGGCTCCTGCGGCGCCCCGTCTACGGCCTGCGCCAGGCTCCCCGTGAGTGGTGCGACACGCTGCGTGCTACGCTTGCTGACCTGCAGTTCTTTCCGTCCTCTGCAAACCCCTCGCTCTTCGTTCGTGCTGGCCAGACCCCGTTCTACATCCTTGTTTACGTAGACAACCTGGTCTTCGCCACAGCAGACAGGGACGCATTGGCCTCCGTGAAGGTAGAGCTGCTGAAGAGACACACTTGCACTGACCTTGGAGAACTGCGCCACTACCTTGGCTTGCAGATCTCCAGGGACAGAGCAGCGCGCACCATCACTTTGACTCAGTCACACTTGGTGCGCGAGATCCTTCAGAGGTTCGGCCTTCAGTTCTCCTCCGCACAGCCCACTCCTCTGCCTCTAGACCACAGGCTCTCGGCTCCAGTTCATGAGGAGTCAGCAGAGCCCTGTGGACCTTACGCAGAGCTGGTGGGTTGCCTCATGTACCTGATGACTTGCACTCGCCTAGATCTCGCATACCCTCTCAGTATCCTAACTCGCTTTGTGGCTCCAGGCAGACACCGACCTCAGCACCGGTCTGTTGCTACGAGGGTTTTGCGTTATCTTGCAAGTACATCGGGCATGGGGTTAGTGCTAGGAGGACGCGGGCTAGTGGTCCTTACTCGACACATAGACGCTTCTTGGGCAGACGACGCCGAGACCCTCAGGTCCTCATAGGGCTACTGCTTCAGCCTTGGTTCAGGTGCCGTCTGGTGGAGAGCTACCCGCTCCTCGTCTATTGCCCAGTCCAGCTGTGAGGCCGAGATCTATGCCGGTGCCATGGCGGCAAAGGAGCTCCGCTGGCTGACCTTCTTGCTCACTGACTTAGGTGAGCGGCCTAGCTCTGCCCCGGTCCTGTACGCGGACAACAGGGCCATGATCCTCCTGTGTCAGGAGCCTCGACTCGAGGGCAGAGCGAAGCACATCCAGCTGCGGTACTTCCTCCTGCGTGAGCTCCAGCAGCGCCGCCAGGTGCGCGTAGTACACTTGGCCTCCAGTACCAACACAACTGATATCTTTATGAATGCGCTTGCGCCTAAAGATCATCAGCGGCACTGTGTACAGCTAGGTCTCGTTCCTGTAGCCTCTCACTTGCTAGGGCCTTGACCTTGTACTGCCGTTTGTATATATATATATATATATATAAATATATATATATATATATATATATATATATATATATATATATATATATATATATATATATATATATATTATTTTTTTTACCCATGACTGGCCTTGTGGCCTCTCCCAGTGGCTGGACTAGTAGTGCCGCCCTGGTCTTGCTCTTGCCTTGTCTGTATTCCTTTGACTGGTCTTTAGACCCGTGTCTCAGAGGCTGGACTAGTAGTGCCGTCCTAAGCTGCTTCTTCCCTTGTTAGGCACTGCCCCTATATAGTCTAGGGGGTGTGTCAAATATAGCTTATGCTGGTACTGTAGACTATATATGTTTGTGCCTTAGTGGGTACAAGTCTCTAGACTATATTGCCTTGTATCTCACCACTCTAGTCATGCATTCTTTCTATTAAACGGCTCCACTCAACATACCGTAATCTCCCGGCACGATCACCCTAGGGCTTCTGGAAATTTCACCGAAATTCGTTTGGGTGGACATATTAAAGGGAGGTATTTATTCAGACCCATAGACATTTATTTCCTACTTACGAGATTGTTCTTTGGTATGTAAACTTTAGCGCCAGCTGATTCTCGTCCTCAGCCTGTCGTAGTCTCGCGAGTCTAATTCCTGCTGTGGTCAATTTTCTGTTGGCTGACTGCAGGAACCCCTTGTGCCGACGCGACGCGAAGGCATTTCTGACAGCTTGGCGCACAGGCAAACGGGGGTGCTTTGAACGGGTGACAAAAAAATGGAACTGAAAACGAGTAAAAATACAATCCTGAGGGAAATCGGGGGTCCTCAAACGATTTACCCCAAACAACGGGTCCTCACAATCCCTTGACGATATTAAGACCCATGGTCCGGAAAAAAGACCCAGGGTCCTTTTTTCGGGGGGGTAATCATGCCGGGAGATTACGGTAGGTGCTACGAAACTCGTCTCGTACTCTCAATATGTAAATTTTTAAAGTGTTCACACTTTCAAAATTGTGTATTGTGAATGCAAAGCTGCTTGCAACGCAATCTCAGGCATCGTCGAAGCGCGCTATTCACCCTTCTCCAACCATATAATGGGGTTGGAGGTAATTCTTCCTCCACCCACGTTTTTCATTTTTCCTAGCTCAAGTTCAATTGAGTTCCCATCCCGCCTTTTTTTCTCCGCCACTCTGGCGAAGTTGAAAACTCTCCCTCGCGGGAAAGCACCCTCCCAGCTTCTCGCCGATATCCTTACGCATAACCAGGCAGCCATGGCCCCTCCTAGTACCCCGGCCAATCGTGCTGAAAATCCCCCCGTCGAAACTCCGAATATTTCGGAACCTGAGAAAAACGCCAGCGAGATGGCGGGTGATCGCGGCAACAAGCGTCGGGCAGAGGGCGACCTCGCCTCTTCTGCCCTCGACCTGTTGCTGCGCATTGGCGAGGTCAACCAAGTAGAGCTTGGTGGGCCACGCGCCAGCGAGCAGCAGGCAACGCACGCAGCGGATGGCGCGTCACCTACTGATGCCAGCGTGCGGAAGGCGCCGAACGGTAGGGCGGGCCCCGCGCGTCAGAACAAGCGAGGCCGTGGGGCGGCCTCGTCCAGCGCGCCAACACCCGCCGCCCCTGCTTTGACCAATGAGCAAGTGGCGGCACTGCTGGCGCTGTTACAGCAAAACACACCCGCGGTTACAGCGGCTGCGACTGCCAATTGTGCGTAAACTAAAATTGAAGATGCAAAAAAGGAGTCGTCGCGTCACGCTCGTCCTTCCAAGACTGCCCGCGCCGAGAAAGAGCTAGCCGCTGTCACGCAAGACAATGCCAAGGAAGACAGTGACTCCGACAACGATGCTGGTGAGGCTCATACACGCACAATTTTTTTCGCACCCACCGAGCACCTCCCACCTCTTCCTTTCTCTAACCCAACCATCGCGGCATCATCGTTCAACAACGCTGGGGTACGCGAGCAAGCCGAGTTCCTGGAAGACTTGCGAGCGTACCTGAAGCACGCGGAGCACAAGGTGCGCCACGGCGACACATCAAGCTCGCTCGAATACTTCGAGGCGGCGTACGCGCTCATCGCCAAGCGCTTCGAGCTCCTCCAAGTCGCCGACGCCTCCGACTTCAAGACGGCACACCGCTTCAAGCTCTACCAAGAGAAGAGTGTCCTCACCTCACGGCCCTTCAAGCAAGCAGTTGCAGACGTTGCGGCAATGAAACGCGCGCAAGGCTCCTATGGCCGTGGCCATCCTGTTGGAGGCCGCAGCCCTATGAGCTTTGGAGGGAAGTTTGACCCTCCACCGAGCGGCGCCCAGAGGGGCTTCCGAGGCGCTTGCTTTCGCTGTGGCCAGCCGGGCCACACGGCGAACAACTGCACTGGAAATGGGAGCGGGCCACAAGGGCCCGCACCCGTTGTGTGAAAAGAAAATAAGATTTTTTTTGTGGACTTCGGAGTAGGTGCCACTTCACCATGGGGTGCTTAGGGCCGCTGGCCATTCCCTCGCTGGGAATTAGAATGCAAAGGCCGCAGGCCAAACCCGATAGAGGGTATGAGTATAGGCCATGGGCCAAGCCCCAAGGGGGGGTAAACATTTTTTGACCTACCTCGGTAGTGGCACCCTTGGAGGTGCCGGTTCTTTTCGTTTCATCATTGTTTTGACAAGCTAGAATCCTTGTTGGAAAGTGGCCAAGGCTCGAGACTCGAAGCTCATGGGCCAAGCTTTTTCAATTCTTGTCGATCTCCTTTATTAAAATAACATTGAGAACCCCAATCTGAAAAAAGGCCTCACAATGCCTTGAGACCTCACAAGGCAGCTCCGTTTTTGGAGCCTAGGAACCTATCTTGGGTGCCCTTGCCATCCAAGCCTAAACTAGAAGAAGGCACGACAAAAAAAAAAAAAAAAAAAAAAAAACGGGTGCGGCCACATCAGGGCACATGAAGCCAAACACTTTGTTGCACCTACAATGTCTAGCGCAAGGTACATAACTAGTCTTAGCTTCCGTCCCATCACATGCTCTTTGACAAGCCATTGGAGGGATTTGGCTTACTTGAACATGCGATGCTTCGCAAGAGAAAGATGGTGCAAGCGAGCAAGAGAGAGAAAGAGAGAGAGAGAGAGAGAGAGAGAGAGAGAGAGAGAGAGAGAGAGAGAGAGAGAGAGAGAGAGAGAGAGAGAGAGAGAGAGAGAGAGAGAGCGAGAGAGAGAGAGAGAGAGAGAGAGAGAGAGAGAGAGAGAGAGAGAGAGAGAGAGAGAGAGAGAGAGAGAGAGAGAGAGAGAGAGCTATAAAGGCCCTCTCCTCCTAGGTCATTCCTCATTATTCTTTTTCGTCCTTGGATAAGTTCTCTGGTTTTGGCGGCCGGCTCGCGCCTATGGCCGCGCAGCGGGACTGGTGGAACTGATCAGCTTCAATAGGTAGAATACACTATTACACAACCAGCATCTCAGACAGTGGATCCTGATTCAAACTAGAGACATCCCACGATTGCTCCTAGCTTGTAGCACTCCCAGTATCCTCTGTACCCCGCACACGGCGTGTTTAGCCCGCTATGGGCGTGAAGAGGATAAAGACCCGACCGCTGTTCACTCCGGCGGGAGCAGTCGCGCCATCCCCTGTTGCACAGCGCAAAGAACTGCAGCGGAGGCCGCCGCAAGGCCTGATGCAGTCTCAGCCGACACGGCGCGAGACAACGCCGTCACGGCGAGGGGGCCAGCAGCGGCCTCATTTACAACCACCCGCGGCGGCAGAGTCACATACACCAGACCCCACAGAAGCATGGCGACAGCCTCCTCGGCCCGAGCACGCTGGCGACGGGACAGCACGGGTTCACGGGCCACAGGTGGACGACGCACGAGGGCGAGGTGCAGCACGTCCAGCAACTCTGCCACCCAACCGAGGCAGTCCACGAGACCCAACAGCTGTTGCGAGCGACTATAGTGTGGGCCATCCCTCACACGACGGAGCCGCGGTACCCGTGGAGGCGGCGAACGATGGAGCCGAATACCCCGAGGAAGCCCCACAGGAGAGGCGCCCGAGCTCCGATAAAGCTCCCGAATGCGGGGTTCGGACAGCAAGCGGCGCCAAGACTGGCCTGATGCCCCATGGCCAGGGATCTCCGACGCAGGCACATGAGAGCCCGACGAGGCCTCCGCAAGGGACGAGGGACCAACGGGGTGCGGAGCGTTCCACACACGTTGATGACTCCGTGGCGAGAGCAGCAGATCCATCGATGAACCCAGGAAATCAGCAGCAGCAGTCACCCCGAGGAGAGGAAACCAGCGCAAGACGGCAACGCGGTGATAACGAGGCTAGAAGCCCAATGAACGGGCAAAGTGAACCAAGTCGGGCACAGGGGGGGGCGCGCGAATCAGGGGGGGAGACTCAGCAAGTGAGAGGACGGGGGCGGGGGGGAAGACGGCGGGGCACGGGGGGGCGGCTAGGTGTGCGCCCATCGAGGCGGAGAAGACCGATGTCCAGAGAAGGGGATTGGAGGGAGCGACACGGACGACCACTGAATCAGCCAACTGCCGAAGAACGAGGGGAGGAGGATGAGACTCACGAATCCAGCGGGGAGGAATTTGTAGGGGAAGCACCGGAGGAATCAGAGGCAGAGGGAGTATCAGTAGGAACCTCCGAGGGGGAGGCAAACGGAGGCCAAGGACATCGGGCCGCACCTCAGCGACCGTGCCAGACCGGAGCAGTGCCTGGGGTCCCAGAGCCGAACCTACCCCAACCCCGCTCACCAGAAGACCTCGCCAATGATGAGGATCTCTGGAGGTTGGTCACAGGGTGGGAAACCCCCAGGCTTGTGAGTTCCCGCCAACCATTCCTGGTCAGATACTTACCCCCAAAAATCCTGGAGATATACGCGGATTGCCTTCTGGTCCCGCTACTGCGCATTCAATCAAACCCGGGCTGCAAGGGGGACTGGCGAATGCTACAATTCCTTCCCAGACTCACGCTTCGACCCACGCCAGCCCACGAACCACGGTGGCAATCCCTCTGCCGACGACTTCAGCAATTCAGGCGGGGGAATTGGGACCAGCTATTCACCGAAGCGGCCGACACGGAACCCGACACACCTGCTGCCCGTACCGAACCCGACCCAGCTGGGCTCCGCGCGAAGGCTGAAGGCCTGGTTTGGAAGGCAAACCTGTCAAAAGCCCTTCGCGCGTAACACCCGTCGCCGACCTCGCCACCCACGCCAGCAACACTCGAAATCCTTTGCCAAAAACACCCAGCTGGCGAAAGGGAAGTTGGGCGGGCCTTCGACCAGCCACCGGGCAACCACATCGCCATTGAGGCAGAAGCCTTTCGCCGACTATTGGCGAAATGCCCAAGAGGAGTGGGAGTGGGGCCTTTGGGCACCTGCTATGAGCACCTACGGAACCCAGCACTAGCCAACCCCCACGTGTTTCTACTGCTACTGCACGCCATCAACCTTATGCTCCAGGGAGCCATAACACCAGACACACGGGCAGAACTGCTGCCCTGCAAACTCATTGCGCTCACTAAGCCGGGGGGTGGCGTGCGTCCTATCGCGATAG